GCGTGGCCACGTCGAGCACCGTCGGCACGGCGGCCGACGCGCGCTGCTTGGCGATGAGGGACGCGGCGCTCGCGGCGTCGACGGCCCGCGCGTGCGGGTCCGAACCGTTGGCCGGGTCCGACAGGATGGCGGCGAAGCGCGCGGCGTCGCCGGGCTGCGTGGTGCGCAGCACGATGGGAAGCGTGGGGGAGGGGAGGTATGTGTCGAGGTGCGAGACCTCGATGGTGGATTGGCTTGCCATCATGTGTTTGTGTTTGTGTGTGTGTGGTGCTGATGTTGAGTGTGGAATGGACAAGGCCTTGTGATGACGTATTTATAACCCATATTCTGAGCGATTGACCATTCGGTTCAAGCGACAAGACCACTTCATGATTTCATTACATCTCTTTTGAGTCACTGCCTAACGTGCGTTGCCGTTGATGATCCCTACCAAGAGTCGTTCTGCATGGCAGGCCATCGTACCACGGCCCAATGGGTGATGCGTAATGGCAGCAAGAGTTGCCCTTTCTGGGACCCATCCCCAGAGGGCTATTTTGTGAGTCACGGTGGCTGTTTTAGATAGCCTTTTAAAATCTCACTGGAACCAGTCATTGGTGGGGATGCTGCTTGCTAACTAGTTTATTATGCTTGCTGCTGAACTGGATCGAGAGGAATTGAACGAACGGCAATTCGGGTTCCAATCTACTTCTCTTTATGCTATAGTCAGTTTTCATTTTCTGCCGTGAGCCACATGGGTTCAGACAGCAGCAACCCTCATGTTGGCTTGGTGAGCATTGCCGAGGTGTAAGCTGGTTGACGGAACTGTACAAAGCACACACCGAGCGTATTAAGTAGCAATACAGATAGGGGAATATATTCTGATTCCATTGATGTCCGTTATCCGCTATTTAACATATCATCATGGAGGAAAACAATCGGTTCACTTTGCCTGGGCCTTTTCCCTATGCGTCCCGCTCGCGCTGCGCAGGACTCTACCACTGTCAGGCGTACCCTCTCTCTTGACAACCGCGTCTCCGGCGAGGGGTGAGGGGGGCAAGTCCGGCGTGACGGACCGAGACTCGGAGCCCTGCTTTCTCGACTTGGGCAGGCTCGTGGCCTTTTTCCGTCGCTTCTCAGTCAAGCTTGAAATGGAACCGGCGCGGCGCGTCGTCGGGTGGCCGTCGTCGAGGTCAAAGGATGGGGTGCCACTGCGTGTCGAGCTGACAGAGCCGCGCCGAACACTGCTACTGCGGCGCTTGTGCAGCTTCTCGGTGCTAATGTGGCTCTTGTGAAGAACCTTGGGCGTCTCCTGCTGTTTCACCTGTGCCTTTTTCCAGGGCAGGCGCCACAGCCAACCATGCTGGGCCTTGGCCATTTTGACGTCGTATTCATTTACTTTTTCTCGTAGAAGCGCTCGTCGCTCGTTTTCACGGTCCCAGTACTCTGTTCGGTACAGCTCCCAGTTTTCGCGAAAGGTTGGGGAGAATGGCTTGGCGAGGAGTAGCAGCTTGACGTAATCACCACCAGGGGCGAGATCCTCCTCGTGGCCACCGCGTACGTCATCTTGGTGAGGTAGTATCAGCGTCGGGTGGTGGCCGTCGCCGGACAGCTGCAGCTCTTTTTCGACCTCGCGCAGCAGGGAAGGGTCGACGTGGCGGTAGGAGGAGCTGGCGGTGTGGGTGAAGAGCCCGTAGGTGAGGAAGAAGCCGACAGAGGAGAGAGCCTCGGCCCACCAGGGCCTGCGGATGAGGACGAGCTTGCAGTTGAAGCCGCGCAGGCCGCGGTTGGAAATGGCGAACCAGCGACGGGGCCAGCGGATGCCGCGCTCCCAGATGCCCGTGGCCCAGACGAGGACGGCGGTGATGATGCCGCCCATGAAGCACACCTTTTGGGCGCCCTCGACGGCCCAGTAGATGGAGCCGCCGACGCCCTGGCCGTCCTCGCGGGGCGCAAAGTACAACTTGTAGCCGAAGAAGCAGACCCAGGCGCTGAGGAGGGTGAGGAAGAAGGTGTGGTGGCGCTTGCGCGCGCGCAGCTCGAGGAATTGGGCGCGCAGAGAGGCTTCGAGGATAAGGAGGTTGAGGTAGATCATGGACGGCGAGCTGGGGGTGTTGTGCAAGGGATCACCTTGCTTGACATCTTCGTGGAGGATGGGACTGGTGCCGGTGGCGGCGGCGGCAGCCTTGATGGCTGGGGAGACCACGGGGGCCCCCTTGACGATGGAGTCAATGTCTTCGGTCATGGGCATGCTTGGTCCGCGTCGGAGAGGGGTATAGTAGGTTTCGTGGCGGTGATGAGAGTATTTCCTGAGCGTGGTGGTCCCGGCAGCTGGATAAGGTTGCTCGGCGCGGCAGCCCGACGATGTCTACTGGCGCGGCCGCCGCACGCGACAGGTGCTGAAGGATGAAGACGGACGGAAAATCGGGATTCAAGGAGTCGCTCTGTAAGGCGTAATTGATTGGTTGTCGGTAGGCATTTAGGCCTGGGGGTCGCTTGGGACGATGGATATCAACGCGGGAATCGGCAGTGTCCTTGAGCTCGGCAACGTTTGTACGGAGACGGGCAAGGGAAGAAAAAGGCGAGGGATGGAGGTGGGTCGCGGCTGGGGAGTTGGAACGCCGGCGTCTACAAAGTGCTGCTGATCAATAGGATACTGTCGGTAGCGCCAGGGTGCCAAGTTGAGAGGCAAGAGAGACACGGGAGAGGAGGGGTCAAGAAGCTGGGGCAAGAAGGTCATGTAGGTCGGTCCATTGGGAACGTCATTGATTGATGAATGATGAATGTGAAGAGGCAGGGCGAAAAGGCACGACTGGACTTTGAAGCTGGCGGGCAAGGACCCCGCTATGACGGGCTGCTGCAGTGCTGAGCTGAGGAGATGTGTAGCAGGTGACCACAACAAAGCGACACGTAGAAAACAGTAGTTATCATGTGTATAAATATTGTCAATACTGCAAAAAAAAAAGGCAAAACAGGGCAAATAGATACAATATTCGTTTCGCCTACTTCAAACCCCATTGGCACTTTGTACATGTTACAGTCAGTCGGCCTCGAAGAGCCAGCCGTCAGCACACGTTGGGGAAAGCCCACTGTAAGTCGGGTTCTATGCCCCAACTAAAAACCGCTCACAGCGTTCTTCCTCCACCCCTCCTTTTACCTGGTGACAGTAACAGTTCGCCAACCCATTAACCCACGTTACAGGGGGTATTGCACTAATTGGTTCCTCTGATGGACGGGCAGTGGACGGGACAGAGGGGAATTATTATTCAGTATTATTAGCACCCCGTCATCAAGGCACCATCTCGGCTCTCCCAACCGATCCAGCAGAAACAAAATTTCATTCGCTCCTCTCTTCTCTCTTCGCTCTTCCATCTCCCCTCCTCTCCATCGCTTCTCGCTTCTGCTTCTTCCATTTTTATCCAGCAAGCCACCACCAAGCCTCGCCTGCCTCGCCCATCTCCGTCACCATCTCGCTACCTCTCGGCCATGAACAAACCTTGATCCCGCGTCGAGCCGTAGCGTCGGAAACCGGATCGACGCAAACTCCGATACGGACAGAGCCCAACACCACCCGCCACATTCTTAAATCCGGGCGGGCTTTCCCTCTGGAATATCCGCAACCACCAAGCGTCCGCCGCAATTACGCTCTGTGACGCGTCGACCGGCTCACGCAAAGCCCTTTTCCTTTTCCCCCGCCTAATTCCAGCCAGCCCTGTCAGGCGCCCCGGCATAGCAGCACTGTACGTCGCCGGCTCAGCCTTCCCCCCCCGTTCGGCCTGCAGTACCTATCGCCCTCTCCGCCGGTGGACTTTCTGGCCTTTGCGGCTGCCTTGGTAGAGTTTTGCGCAATCAGGGACACGCTGTCGTCTGGGGCTTTTTGTTTAAAAGCCCCGTCACAGCCCTCTAGCGAAACGAGTCGGAATGCTCAAACAGCAAAAAGCGACCGTCTTTTTCCAACGCACCCGCGTCACTCTCGCCTCGTCCTTTCCCACCTCGTCCAAACTTGCCAAGATGGCTGCCGAAAATGAGCACGTCAACACTAGCCAGATTAAACAAAACAGAGAGACACGGCCACCCTCTGTCTATTTCCCTCTCGGCTACAAGGAAGCCGCCTACCAATGGGTAAGAAACCCAACCCCCCCCCCTAGCCGCATACATGCCTCGTTCGCTAACACCCAATCCTAGTGGACGAGCGTCACGCCGTCCATGGTTGAGCGCAAAGTTCTTTCCTTCATCCCGACCCTCCGAGAAGCTGCCGACAGCGCCGCGAACCCCAATGCCTCGTCCACCCCCGACCCCTTTGGCACGCGCGTCTGGCGCCGCACCCTGGTACCGCTCTCAGGCAAGAACCGCGCCCTCAACGAGGTCTGCGTCGAAAAGATTGGCGAGAAGACGGACGAGACCCTCGTCGTCGTCCACGGCTACGGCGCCGGCCTCGGCTTCTTCTACAAGAACCTCGAGCCCATTTCGCGCATGCCCGGCCTGAAACTCTACGCCCTCGACATGCTCGGCATGGGCAACTCGTCGCGCCCCGCCTTCCGCATCCACGCCAAGGACAAGGAGAAGCAGGTCATCGAGGCCGAGGACTGGTTCGTCGACGCCCTCGAAGAGTGGCGCCAAAAGCGCAAGATTGAGCGCTTCACCCTCCTCGGCCACTCCCTCGGCGGCTACCTCGCCGTCTCATACGCCCTCAAGTACCCCGGCCACCTCAAGAAGCTCATCCTCGCCTCACCCGTCGGCATCCCCGAGGACCCTTACGCCGTCAATGCCTCCATGCCCGACCCCGACGAGTCCACTCTCGAGAACGAATTCACCCAGGACCAGAAACAAGTTACCGAGAACGGCCATGACACCGCTCAAGCCGCCAAGGCTGCTGCCGCCGCAGCCGCCTCCCCCAAAGCCGATAGCGCACAGCCCGCCGCCCCAAAGCGCCCGATCCCCAGCTGGCTCGTCTGGCTCTGGGACGCCAACGTCTCGCCTTTTAGCATCATACGCATGACGGGGCCCCTCGGCCCGCGCTTCGTCTCGGGCTGGACCTCGCGCCGCTTCAACCACCTGCCCGGCCCCGAGGCCCAGGCCCTCCACGACTACGCCTTTTCCATCTTCAAGCAAAAGGGCAGCGGCGAGTACGCCCTCGCGTACATTCTCGCCCCGGGCGCCTATGCCCGACGCCCCGTCATCAACCGCATCCAAGATGTCGGCCGCCAGCCCCTGCCCCGTACGAGCAGCAGCAATGCGCTGGCCAAGAAGGAGACGGGCTTCCCCATCGTCTTCATGTACGGCGAGAACGACTGGATGGACGTGGCCGGCGGCCTCGCCTCAGAGGAGAAGCTCAAGAGGGCGCAGGCGGACGCGCTCGCCGGCGCGACCGACGAGGAGAGGCGCGCGGAGAACGGCAGCGTCAAGGTTGTCATTGTCCCAAAGGCCGGCCATCACCTGTACCTCGACAATGCAGCTTTTTTCAACGACGCCCTGCAAAAGGAAATGGACGACGTCGTCGCCACCTCGAAAAAGAACAATGACTATTGATGAAGAAGGAAAAGTAATGCATGTCGGCACGGACTGGGGGAGTATCTTTTCTTTTTTTTCTTTTCGGCGTCTTGAGGCTAGGCGTGGTTTTCGTGTTTGGACTGCAACGGTTCATTTTCCTTTTTTCAAACAGCATGAGCGGCAATCCATCTTGGATGACGCTCCTTGGACGGTCAAGGCCATCTTCATCGATTTCCTTTTTTTCAGACTAGGCGTTTTCTTCTTCTTTAAACATTAGATATACAAGCATGTGCAGGTAACCCACGCCGGCATGCATACATAATATTTCACTTCAATAGATTTTAGACTTTCTCCTTCCATCGATTCACGCCCCGTCACTTTTTGAGTATCATGTCTGGTTCACTTTGTCTTTTATTCAAGTATCCGTCTACTCTTTATCCTCTAATCTTTGGACACTCGCGACCTTCCACATTCCGCTGTTATACAGTCTTTCACTTGCCATGATACATGATGCTGGATAGGACAATTGCGCAATCAAAATAATACATTCCCAATATGCTTAGAAAGGACAGACGCCAAAAGCGATCATGTGCCGGGTTGGAAGAAAAAATACCACCCAAAGTCGTATACAAAGTGCCAGAATGAAACAAAAAAGAAAGCCTTGGGGCTAGTGTGAATGATGGCCATGCAAAATAGTGACGCAAACCATGCCGTATTGTCTAATGTTGTTTTTGTTGCTTTTGTAGTTTTGTCCTTAGAGATTAATCAGGTCAACCTCGGAAAAGTCGGGCGGATGCCTGCCGTAGATCACGCGCACTTTACTATCGAGCGCTGTGCCTTCGTTACTGATCCAAATGTGCTTGCTGAACGCGCGCGTGCGCTTGATCTCATCCTCGCTGATGCCTAGGTCGTCGCGGGGGATCCAAACGGCAGGACGACGGGCTCGCAGGGCGTAGTGTAGAAAGGCGTGCCGTGTTAGCATATCTCTCTCGTCCACCGTCAGATCTTCGATTTCGTCATGGACACCGCCGAAAAGGGCATTACCCATTGCGCGCTGTGCCTCGAGATCCCTCTTCCGCTGCTGTCGGCGGTACTGTGCGGCCTGAGAGTTGCGGTCGGCCTTGGTCAGACGCAACAGCTGGTTGCCTCCCCCCTTGGCCCATCCGCCCACATGCTTGCTACCTTCCACAGCCCACGAACCAACTTGCTTCATCGGCTTGAGAGAAAGCAGACCGCCTGGACGACGGTTCTCCTGTTGCATAGTATTCAGTTCGATGCCCTCTTCACCTTCAATGAAAGATGGCGACTTCTCGCGGAGGTCTGGTAACTCCTTAAGATCCTCTTCATCGTCTTCGTCAACGCCCAGACGGGAGTCTTGGGCGCGCTGGAATGCCTCGTCACGGAGAACGGCTTCGTCTTCAAAGGTGATGGGCAGATAGCGAAATAGTGGCGAGAAGGATTGGTTTAGAAGATACTGATAAAGCATGGTCAAAAGCATGACGACCAACATGATGACACCGTGTGTAATGCAGGGGCGTGTGTCGTTTTCGTCTTTGACAATAAAGAAGAGTCCCGCCATACACAGCTGCATAAAATACAGACCGGTAAAAGTCTGATTGATGGCGCGTGGGTATAGGACGCCGCCAGTATCGCGCTCCATGCGATAGACGTAGACCATTGCGTAGCGCTGCGCAAGCCACAACAGGCCAAAAGTAACAACTGCAAAGATGGAAATCAAAGGTGAAATGACGCAGTAAAAAATCGCGATACAGGCAAAGTTCGTGTACACAGGGAAGAAGGCTCCCCACTGTACATTGTTGAGGTTCGTGTTTCTCGCCCACTTGTTTCGTGCAGTGCTGTCAAACATGGGCCCAATGACAAACCAGAAGAGGAGAGAAACAACCTGCAGCAGTGTACCAGAGCTAGTAGTCAAGGCTTGCAGCACCATGTATGAGAAGAAATAATTGGCTGCCTTCGGGAGGTTATTGGCCAGGAGGTTCAATACACTCTGGACAGAGTTCAACTGCTCTCGAATGTTGACGACGAACTTGTCGAGCGACGCTGCGAAGAAGGAGGCAATTGAAACAACCAGGAAAACTTGAAGGAACAAGAAGACAAAGTAGAAAAATTGGACAAATTCGGTTTTTTGCGTTCCAGTCTTGGCACCTCGAATACCCGCGAGGAAGTTTAAGATGAGTGGCACCAAAACCAGCAGAAGCGCCAAGAGAGTGGCAGGCAACACACCAGCAACAATCTTGGCAAAGTTCAGGATATCGTTGTTCGCTTTGAGGAATTTCAGCCAGTTATTGTCTTGGATCAGCTGGTCAAGCTGGCTTACCGCCGCCGTCCAAGCCACTGGAATAGCCCATAGAAAGGCCATGGTGCACACAATTCCAATAACAATGAAGGCACGCAGACCTTCCCCCCACCAAGATATGGCCATATTGTCCCAGACAACATCTCGGGGCGATATTTCAATAATTCTGGGGGCCATGTGGCGAGGGAGGTGGTGGACGGCACTTTGACAAGCCATGTGTGCCGCAACCTGATGGTTGAACTGAACAAAGGCCGAATTCATGAGCGGGTAGCGTTCGGGGTGCTTTTGGTCCTCTTCTATTTCAAGATTGAGACGTGCAAGTTCCTTTCGGCAGTAGTATATTGTGTCGACCTTTTTCGTAATCCCAGGAATTCCGAAAAGCCAGGTGACGCCGAACAGAGGGAGATGATGCGTTGGGCGGTGCTTCTTCTTAAGATATTTACGCCATTCAGCATCTTCTTCCTCCGTGTCATCATTCTCTGGGTTGAATGCCTCGGGATAAGTCACTTCTTTATCCTCGCTGCCCATGAACGGAATGAAGCCTTTTACCGTTTGCCAAGACGTCTTGTGCTCTTGCTGACCGGCGGACATATAATCTTCGGCTTCAGAGCTTTGAGGGACGGGCGAGGCGTATGCACCAGATGGAGGCTTCCAAAATTGCCAAAATCGGTTTCTTCGGTTATCCATAAAATCGTTCTTGTCTGATTTCCTGACCGTGTTACCACTCACGGTCTGGCCCTCCATGCCATCACCGTCCTTAATGGCGCTAGTGGCTGTCGCAAAGGCACTGGAGCCATCAGGTGTATGAGTTGCCTGAGAATCAGTCGTTCCCGGGCGCTGAGAAGAAAGGGGCAAGTTCTTCTTGCTCTTTGAGAACAGCGGTGCAAAGCCATGCGTGGTGCCGAGCCCATCTTCAATTCCCTTGCCGGACTTGCTAGCCACGTTCCTTAGCTCGCCTGCAACTTTGGCTGTTGTTTTGGTAAGGCCGGCCAGGGGATTGCGCATGCCGCCGTGGTCTGTGTCATAGTCATCACCGTGAATGTGATGTTTCTTTTCATCGATTTCTAGAGCGGACTCCTCAACAGCAGCAGTGACTGTGTGGGGAATTTCGTGCGCATCGCCAGCATCCTCACCCTCTCCGCTGTTTGCGAGCTCTTTGGCTTCCTCGTCTCGCTTCGCATTTCTGGCGGCCTTCTCTTTTCTGGTAAGCGCGACCAGCTTCAGTTTCTTGCGTTCCATTTTCTCGTCCTTCCTCTGTTTCTTGAGTTGAGCCTTCTTGGCGGCCTTTATGAGCTCTGTCTCTGCGTTTTCCAGGGCAGCGTGAATCTGTTCGCGAAGGTTCACCTTGTCTAGAAGCTTGGTCATGTCACGATTCAGCCACACATTCCTGACCCCTCCCGGAAAGACGTCAAGAAGTCCTCGGAGCGCGTCTTCGCTGAGCCACTTCTTGGGTATGGAGTTGAGAAGTACGGTAGTGGCGGAGGCTCGTAAACGATGCTCGGCACTAGTAAGATAATCTTGTCGAACTTTGATGTAGGCCTTGAGCTCGAAGAAAAAGACGACGCAGATCCATATGACCACCAAGATAGCCAGCACAAGATGGGCCACGTAACGGCCAGTGTTCTCGGGGCGGATGTTGGCCCAGGCCAGCGTATCTAGGCCGGTAACATTTTTATCATTGGCGGTGTTGTTGTCGGCACTCATGTCAATCCGCTGTCCAAGACCTCCAATGTAGTTGAGCGGGATCAAAATGGGCAGAACGACGCCACAGATGGGTATGAAGATGATGAGAAGGGTTTTGAGGTAGCGCAAGAAGAAGTAGGCATCGAGGCCACACTTTTTGATGATTTCGCGGTCTTTGAAACGAATCACGGTTCTGATCATGGCGAAGAAGTTGTTCGGGGGCGGCTCCGTTCTCTCGCGTTCGGGGACAAGATATGTTTTCGGTTTACTAGAGTACGTTAGTCTCGTTAGGGTATCGGGGAGTAACTGTGGGATAAGTACAAAATGCGTGCAAGCTTATTGCGAAGGAGCGCAAATAGAGATATTTGGATGCCGAAGATGACTAGGGCTGTAGCAATCGAGGTGACAAATGTGATGAGGCCGATGCCCGACTGTCCTTGCGCTTTCGAAGTAGTAACAGTATCATTCCTGCGAGGCAGTATATTCAGATGGCGAATATCGGTCGTCATGGGGTTCGAGGCCGCCATGGCTTGCGAGGGTAGCAGCCAGGCGGATCCAAACAGCATGATGCCCGCGGCGGAGAAGACGAGGCGATGCTGCACCCTCTCCATGTCGATATGGGACACCCAAAGGTGAGCAAGCTCGGAAATGTGTTTTGGTTTTCGACTTTGCCGCGTGTGGATGGGGGTCTCTTTTGGAGAGAGAGGCGCGAGATGGTGCAGGCAGGGAAGGGACGACGCTTGTGTCAGATTGGCCTAGATGAGGTTTCTCGTCTCAGGTCTAGAATAAGTAATGTGGTGGCATTTCGTATCGATGCGGGCGTTGGAGTGCAGCCAGGCGTGTAAGGAAGCGATGTCGAGGTCAAAGGAGTCAAAGGAGCGTAACGAGAGAAAGAACAATACCAACGGGTTACACATATGGGAAGCCATCGGGGGAATGAATTTAGTTATAACTAGGGAGCGTTAGCGACCCGCCATCAAGAGTTGTTCGCAGGGACAAATTTGGTGGAACCCCCCTGAGGTTGGTGATGTCACAGGCGGGAGGGACCAAAGGGAGCGGCACTCAGTGGTTGGCTGCCGCTTGACGATTGGGCCTTGTGCCTTGTTTGGCCCTGCTGGGTCCTGCTAGACTTGTGCCACTGCAGGTCCAACGCCTGTCCAGTGGCAGAGCCTCTGGAGACGCCACCCACCATGTGGCTGCGCTAGTCTATACATGCCGGTTCTTGCTTTGCCAGTCAATAGTATTGATACTGGTACCAAGGTAGTAGACTATAGCGGCGCAGTGCATCAATGCCATCGACGTGGCCATTGTATTCGTTGTCACTTTCATTAAAAATTGACCGTCATCGTCCCTCCATAGCGCCGCACCCCCTGTTCAAAGGACGATCTGGCGCTTGCCTGTGGCCAGGACTCGTACATGAAGCGACCTACCCACGTACCTACACCCACTGTAAGCGTCATCACTGATTCACTGGCTGAGAATGGCCCGCGCTGAGACTACCAAGTCACAACACGCACGCTACAACACCTGCATTTTCAACACACCCAATAGGGCGATATCCAGATCGTTGTACTACCAGACTCGGCTACCAAGACGAACCACACCCATCATCACTTTTCACTTTTCACCCCAACGAGGCCGCAGCTCAACAGTAAATTATTGCTAAGGGCAACGTATAAAACTACAAAAATAACGAAACAAGGTGTTTTCTGTTCTCTCCAACGCCCGCAAAGAAAAAGACAAAGGCACATTGACAACCCCTCGCAAACACATTCTCGGTCCAGATCCGGAGTTCCATTCAACGCGTCGCGATACAAGCGCCATGGCACCCCAAGACCCCCAGTGGGCTTCCTTGGTTTTATTATATATCAAACCATTCAAAACAGCATATCCATGCAACAACAGCACGCGCAGGCTGCAGCTAGACCACCAAGAATGCCAGTGGCGGCGCCGCCCATGCCTCCTCTGTCGTTGTTACCAAAGTGGCCCTGCTGTTGATAAGGACCTTGCTGGTACGGTCCCTGCTGGCCGTATTGACCTGGAGGGGGTCCGTATTGCTGCTGCCCATATTGTTGTTGGCCGTATTGCTGCTGGCCGTATTGCTGCTGGCCGTATTGTTGTTGACCGTAGGGCCCTTGTTGCTGGTGGTATCCCATCTGCGGGCCAGGCTGGTAGTAAGGCTGCTGCTGCTGGGGAGCCCCATAGGCATCGTTTCGTTGATATGTTGATTCCGCCGGGCCTGCGCCCGGGTATGTGGCCTTGGGAGGGTTCGGAGGACCTCCGTAAGGTGGCGGGTGCTCTTCGGTTTTGCCGGACATTGTATGTAGTAGGTATCGATCGCGGACGGGTAGGTAGTTGCTGGAGGGGAGTAGGACTTCGACCAGCAGCAAGTGTGTATAAATTGATTAAATGAGGACCTTTGTAGATGGCGGGTGTTGATGAATATTTAAGGTCGAAACCCGCGACGTCTCGGTCGAAACGGCAGGCGACGGATGCGGCTTAATAAATCGATTACGCACACCCAGTGGCGGGCGGGCTTTGCGCAGTGGCCATTTTAGACGCTGGGCTCGCTGCGCCACTCTTGGCTGCCCACCAGAATCACCCCTTGGCAGTCAGTCCGGGGGAAGTTGGGCTGAGACGTTTGTATTAGCTGCCAAGAAGATGTTGGAATTACGATATGTCAATCCTGAAGATTGGCACACCACTACTCTGTATCCGCACGTACGTAGGACCTATTTGGTTTTCACGCAAAAATTCAGTATCGTAAAGAAAAAGAAGAAAAACTAACCACCACCCACGTTCCATCGTCGTCGTCGGCGGCGCTCTACGGCTTAGACGGAAGCCTCGTCACCACCAAGGAAGAAACTTTAACTTGGCCGAGTCGGGACCTAGGAAAGTTACGTCGACGAATCTTAACTACGAAACCTCATCATGATAGGGCTTTGTCAGATACACCTTGATTCCAACAGGTCCCTTCCAAATTAATATACTATATACTATTTAATCGATCTAATGGGGTGTAAAACCAGCCAACCTGGCTCACGGCAGCCGATGAACATTTCCCACGTGACTTGCGACGCCACATTCATGTTGTGGCGAGAGCAACGGGCCCCACTGTGGCTAGTGTCGCACCACGAAAAAGTGGTAAATTCAAAGAAACAAGAAACCCCACGAAAGAGTCGAACACAATCACGCCGCCCTCGAACCGACGCCATACGCAGTTTCGAAACAGGATACATACGCTCTACCGCATAGCTGCAGACAAGAACCGAAATCATGGCTTCCACGGCTCCCACCAAGGCCAAGTGAGTGTACTTCTCCTGAGCGGGCATGGGCAAAACTCGCAGTGACTGACCCCACCATCCTCCAGGCACGACTGGGCCGACGATGATGATATCGAGGAGACCAGCACCGAGCTGCCGGCGCCCCAGACAATCGCCAACAAGGACGGCACCAAGACCATTATCACATACCGCATCAACGACGACGGTCAAAAAGTGAAGACGACGCGCCGCATCCGCTTCATTACGCACACGGAAAAGGTCAACCCACGCGTGGCCGACCGCAAGAGCTGGGCCAAGTTTGGCGCGAGTGCCAACGACGGCGCCGGCCCGGCCGCTGACACGACCTCCATCGCCGAGAACATGATCTTCCGCCCAAGCGTCAGCTGGCGCAAGGACGCTAAAGATGAGAGCGCCGACCCCAACGCGCAAGCTATGAAGGACAAGCTCAAGGACAAGAAGGTCAAGTGCCGTATTTGTAACGGCGAGCATTTCACAGCCAGGTGTCCTTACAAGGACACCATGGCCCCCATTGGTGAGAACGGTGCCGCGGACGTCGCCGCGGGTATGGGTGACGAGCCCTCAGCCGTCGCCGCGGGCGGCGTCGGCGCCAAGAAGGGATCCTACGTCCCCCCCGCGATGCGTGGAGGAGCCGTGTCGGCGAGCGCCATGGCGGGCTCAAAGTACGGCGAGAGAGACGACCTCGCGACGTTGCGCGTCACCAACGTAAGTAGAGCGGTCGATGGTTGTGCCGGTATAATCATGACGCTAACAATATGGGCTACAGGTGTCGGAAATGGCCGAGGAGAACGAGCTCCGCGACATGTTCGAGCGCTTTGGACGCGTCACCAGGGTATTCTTGGCCAAGGACAGAGAAACAGGCATGGCCAAGGGGTTCGCCTTTATCAGCTTCGCGGACCGGGGCGATGCCGTCAAGGCGGCCAGCAAGATGGACGGGTATGGTTTCAAGCATCTTATTCTGCGTGTGGAATTTGCCAAGAAGGCCGCGTAAAAGTACACCGTTGCATTATAGTTTTAGAAGGGACCATGGGGCATGGTAATGGAATTTAAGGACTTTACCCTCATTGTTGGGAGTCGTGTACTTGACGATGCGTTTGATTGACGCGGACGGCAGAGCTCTGGTGGGTGTGGGAACAGACACGATATTGACACGTCCTGAAGATATGAGCAAGCTGCGGTTCCGTTTATTAGCTCAATATTGTTGAGAAGCTCTGTGAATTGTTGAATGTACTTTGCAATAATTGACATGTGAAAGAGGGACATGGAGCAGGGGTTGAAGCTGTTTCCACTCAGGACGATGCTCTGTAGGGGCGGGCAATGGATATACCTCTTTTTTGTTTTGAATCTATATTATATATCAGATGCATGTGCTACAGCTTCCGTGCATGCTGTGTGATTGACTTTATTGGAGCACTGTACTGCTTGTTTTCCATTGATCGTCGACGCAACTAAGTATCACGCAACAGGTGGCGGACGGGTAGGCCAGCGCCACGCAGCATTGCGTCGTTTTGGATACTCGGAAAGATGATATTATGAATAGAAATGACTAACTAATTACGGAAGGTGCATCTGTCTCTGGTCCGAATGAGGAGCTGCATCACGCGGTGCAAAACGAGGACTAACATGCAGTAATTGCGCTGCTGGATGTGTGTCAAGCCACCTAAACGCGGTGCATGCCTGACAGGTCTAGTTACAGGTACCCGCACCCAGGAAAATGCCGCAGTGAAGGAAGACTGGCAGATTGGTATTGAGGGCGGATAGTTGGGACTTTGAGAGAGATGGACCGTTTGGTTGCTTGCCTTTTCGATTTCGCCTTTGTATGTACCTAGGTAGGTAGATTCGCTGTCGAGAATCGGAAACAAATCAGGAGAGTTACATATAATTAGGTACCGACCTGGTAATTACCTACCTGGTTATGAGCAACACCTGTGCAAAACAAATGCAGCTGTAATAATAACTAGGTACCTAAATAAAGACGCTGAAATCCAGCCATGTTCCAGTCTCTTCCAGCAACCTTCCAGCGCTACGTGGGCCTACTGCAGCGCTAGCGCCAGCCTCGCGACCGCTGAAACCGACGCTGGAATCTGATTTGGCTGCCCTGGGGCAACACGGCAGCGACCCCACCACAGGAGCCCGTTTCTCCACGCTTTTGTAGCTCCCTTGCTCCCTCACTTGCAAACAACATGCACTAATATCTATCCCGAGCCGCCTTCCTCGCCCAACAAATAGCCCTCATCTCTTCGTCCAATTCCATCACTGTCGCGCGACACAAGCAACTTCGACACGGTGAGACCCCGCCCCTCCATCGCCCGCATCGCTCCCTCGGTCCCAGGTTACAGTGCAGTAGCCTGCCTCTGCAGCTCTGTCGTGGCCACGGATCGTTGCCAATTCAAGAGCGCGTCCTCCCTCGCCAATCATTGCCCGTTATCCAGGCCAACCCACCTCATCCCATCATTCTTGTTCGCTGGAATTCACACGACTGGGTCTAGTTGTTCAGCCGAATCTCGCGTTCCAGCGGAGCCGTGACGTTGCGGCTATAGTACCTAACGGTGGTGTGCCCCGGCTCTTCTCGACGCCTCCCTCTCGCACTGCCGCCCCCAGCAGATTTACATGCCCGATCCCACACGGAACCAGACCGTATTTAAGCAATCCGCATTCCACTCCGCGCCCACCACTCGCCGTACGCCCACTCGACCTTTTCCCGTCTTCTCCTGTAGTTCGTGGCTTTCCTCTGCAAACCTCTTGCTCCAGCACTTTGTCGCATTCTGGATTCAACCCCAATCGCTTACAATGGCGACTACGGCTGCTCCATCGGAGCTGCGGAAGCGGCAACAATACCGCGACGACACTGCCAACTCCCAACGCACACCGGCAGCCTCTGAACTCGGCGATCCTTCCACGCCCACCGACCTCGACCCTGATGATGCCAATGCCAAACCCCAAAAGATGTACGGCAGGACGCCGGATGGAACCAGTATGTCCAAGCAACTAGAGTACATCTGCCATTTGCTCTCTGTGGGCTAATTTCGTCTGCAGTCTTCATCGTTCCCACTACCCACGACATGGTTTCACAGCTTCTTGACCCCCGCCAGCCAAAGAACCTTTCGGATCTCGCCGTCATCGCAATCCTCGCCCTCCATATTCTCGCTGCATACATGCTACCCGCCACCTGGAAGAAGCCCGTCTTCGCCATCATCTTCCTCTTCTGGCGCTCCTCGTACAACGTTGGAATCGGTGTCCTTCTACACATCCAATCCAACTACAACCGAATCGTCTCCTGGGCCATCCGCTGGAAGCTCTTTGAGAACCCCAAGTCTGGCAACAACCCGCGGCCATGGCTCTACAAGCTCTTGAAAACGGAGCTCGAGGCAAAGATCCCGGAAGACTACGAGTTTGAAAAGGCCCCCATTGAGTACAATACTTGGCTGGTTTTTCGACGGGTCGTAGACTTGATTCTCATGTGTGATTTTACGTCATATTGTCTCTTTGCCATTGTCTGCGGCCACACGCCCGAAGCCGAAAGCTTGCTCATCGGCATCACGCGCTGGACTATCGGCATTGCTCTGATTGGCTTCAATCTATGGGTGAAACTCGACGCCCACAGAGTTGTAAAGGACTTCGCCTGGTACTGGGGCGACTTTTTCTATCTCATTGACCAAGATCTGACCTTTGACGGCGTATTCGAGATGGCTCCTCATCCCATGTATTCGATCGGGTATGCTGGCTACTACGGCATCTCAATGATGGCTGCTAGCTATGAAGTACTCTTCATTTCCATCGCCGCCCATGCCGCCCAGTTCGCCTTCCTTGTCATTGTCGAGAACCCGCACATTGAAAAGACCTACAACCCGCCACCTCCGCGTAATACGCCGGTTTCCTTAGAAGATGCGGGCACAAAACTGACGCCCGGACAATCCACCGCACAGTCATCACCCGATGGTTCCATCTTGGTCTCGCCAAAGGATTCCCCAGACGCGGTGTATAACCTTGTTGGATTCGCAAATATGGATCTATTCCGCGTCCCCGACTTTGCTGTGGTGCTAATGCCTGGATATGTGGCGACCCTTGCGCTGGCAACGTCTGCCACTCCCTTTTGGCAGGCCATGTTCGTCGGACATGCTCTGCTCTGGCGAATTTGGTACCACGTCGGTCTCGGCATTCTTCTCGATGAGCAATCCAAATCTAAATTCTGGACGCGCCATTTTCTCAAGTACGGCGAGACGGCCCAGGAGGCTTGGCGCCAATGGAAGGGCATGCATCATATCAGCATGATCATGTCAAACGCTTCATTCATTGCCGCATGCTGGAAGATGTATTCTTTCCCTGCCGATTGGGGCTACGGGCTGGTGCTGCTCAAGCATGTTATCGGTGCTAGTCTGATTGCGCTGCAGCTTTGGTCCGCTTTCAGCGTCTACGATTCCCTTGGCGAGTTTGGCTGGTTCTGCGGTGATTATTTCTTCGACCACCGGGCAAAGCTGACGTATACTTCCATCTACCGCTTCGTCAACAATCCAGAGCGCGTTTTCGGTATTGCGGGACTGTGGGGTGCTGCACTCATCACCTGGAGTCGTGCCATCTTCCTCATGGCTCTTACGGCTCAGCTGATGACGATTTGGTTCATCTCGTATGTGGAGCGTCCTCATATGCAAAAGATTTACGGTAGACGTCTCCGAAGTGAAGCTGGCTTGACCAAGTTTATCAAGCGCTCGCTGCCGCCTCCCGTCAAGACACTACAGGAGAGTATGGACAAGGTTTTGGACGACACGACTCAGTTCGTTGAGGACTTTATCGACACAGCGCGGCCCAAGTTTGCTTCAGGTGTCAAGACTATTGTCCGCGATACTTCGGCCATTTTTAACATTGCACCTGCCAGGCTGACGCTCACGCGCATCTCGGCGGATGTCGAGGGCCTAGATCCCAAGCAATTCTCTCTCAAGGTTGATGGTCAGCATTCCACATTGACGTCGCTTCACGAGCGAGCGACCGGAAAAGAGGGTCTTAGTGGCAGGTTCCCCAAGGAAGTCAAGACGATGACTTTTGAATACGGCGCCCCTCTGCGGGTGAAATGGACGGCGCCAGCCAACCATAGTGGCAAAGACTGGATTGGTCTGTATATGGTGAGCGACAATCGATCGAGGGACAAGACTGAGGTGTCATCGTTGGGGCGGTGGGTGCCGACAAACGCGAGCAGCTACGACAACCCAAGCTTGGAGGCCACTGTTATTGTTCCCCAGCACCCGGTTCCTGGCGAAAACGGTGATGATGACGGTGTTGGTGGTGAAGTCATTTTCGAAAGTGACAGGCTTTGGTGGACGCAGGGTGTGTTCGAATTCCGCTACCACCACGATGGGCATCACAAAGTCATGGCAATCTCGGAGCCTTTTGAGATTGCACTAGGCAAATTTGATGAGGAGGATGTGGACGTGGACGCCAAGGGAATGTACGCCAGTGCTGTTGAGTCGCTGCTATTACCAGTGGTGCGCAACTGTCTGGACCGTGACCCGAAGATTGCTCCCAAGGACGAAACAGAAGTGTTTGGCAGTCCGGTTGAAAGAGATGGAAAATACGCAAAGAGAATTGTTTATGCTGTGCGAGAAATGTTTGGTATTGAGTTTGCACCGGCGGTTGTGCTTGCGGATCGCAATGTGCGTAAGCTGGCGTGGCGAATTTGCAACGCAAAGCAGGTTCTGGTGAGTTTTTTTTTGTTTTTGTTTTTCTGATGGATTTGTTTATAGGAACAGTGCTAACCGCTACGTCTTAGGCGCCTTACAGTTTGTCGCGATCAAGAGGCACTACAACGCCTATCGAGTGAGCTGCAGGAGGGAAAAATTAGACGGGGTTGTTTGAGCGCGGAGTTGTGGAGTGGTTGAAGATGGAATGAGTCACTTTTTACGAGACAGGATACCCAAAAGAATAGAAACAAGTGCATACAAAAGAGAAGATGCACGGTACAATAGTGGCACTGAGTGAGGTCATTGGATGCCAGATTGGCGGGGAATGGACAGTTGGAACAGGCCAGATTGGCAATGTGCGGGGGGGACGAATCCAACATTGTATTCCTGCCCAACAATTAAATAAATAATCAGTGCTGATTCAAAGGTGGGTGGGATTCGCGGATACTCGGTACGCCCTCGGGGTTGAACGCACGCTGTCCTCCAGTCAACCGCCTGATCTCTGTCCAAAGGCAAAAAAATCCCCGACCACAGTATTGTGATGCATAGGTAGAGAGTATTACCTAGTAGTCTCAAAGCGTTTGTCCAGACTCGAGGGGTTTGTCCAGACATTATGCAAGGACACCTGTCTTGCATGTGCTGTGTTGTACAGTTACAGCCCAGCGAGTCGCTCTCTCAGCTTACCCTGGCGGATACACCCAAGTCGGCCTGTCGCGCATCTCTGCATACATGACAGTGGGATATTCAGTTTGATGTAGAGCAGCAAGCAGCTTGCATGGTTTACTAGTTGCGACGAAACCCACAAAGAACTTTGGTCTCCCCACTGGAGTGAACAAAAGAGGAAACTCAACAAGACAGACCCCTGGAAGGCTGGGGGCCAATCGTCCCACCTCCCACCTGTAAGCAAAAAGGCTAAAGCATACAGGTAACTAGTTAACTAGAGGTAGCGCAAGTATAAGGCACAAAGGCAAAAAGGCAAAAAGGTAGGGCGAGTAGTTACCATTCCTTTGGGTTCGGGGGGTCGGGCGAGACACGCGCGCGTTGTCCAATCCCCTTTCATCCTGCAAAAGCACAATGAAGACGCAGAAACAAATAAATAGGACGACGGATATCGAATGAATCCTCAGCCATCCTGGTAGCAGCTGAGACGATGGAGGGGGGCTTGGCTCCTTATTATGCGCGAGATGGGACGGACGCCCGCTGTCGATGGCCTACGGGCGGCTGGGCCCGCAGGAATGATGCATCTGGCCAAGTGATGACTGGGAAGGGGAAGTAACGTTGGAGAAACAACATAATAATAATATATATATATATTTGTTATATTATTTTTTTGGCTTTCCCCTGACGGACGGAGCAGGCTACTCGACACCAATTAGGCCTGGCGCGTAAACTTAGTTGGTTCATTCAATGGCGGCGGGTTGCTTGGTTACATTTATTTATTTGCATTGAAGGCTTTGTACCTGACTACCTTGGAGTAGTAATACACTACTGTGAGTGAAAGGGTTCGTTGTTCTGACTCTGGGGATTGTCTTAAAAGCCGGGGTGCTGCCCTCCCAGGTGTCGACAAGAAAGGCTATCCTCGATATCTCATCCTTTTTCTACTACTGGGTCCTCCCATCTAGTCTCTGCTTTTATTTGTACAAAACTCACCTTTGTTTGTCCAATACCACAAACGCCCCCCTCTTCCCTCATCGACCATGACTCGCCCATCTCTGCTTGCGATGCTGCTGGCTGGTGGCGCCGCCGCCTCTGACCTTCTCTACGTCAGCTCCATGGACGGCAACATCACCACGCTCAACATGGGCATGACCACGCCGGCGGCCGGCGGCAAGTACCCGTCCTTCAAGTCCGTGGCCAGAAACCAGGACTGCGCGCCGACTCCCTCGTGGCTGACACTCAACCACGCCGCCGGCCAGCTGTTCTGCATTGACGAGGCCGGGGAGACGGCAAGCTCCCTGTCGTCGTACAAGACGAGCGCCGATGGCACCCTGACGAAGCTGGGCAGGGTCGAGACCCCAAAGGGCCCCGTGAGCGGCATCTTTTACGGCTGCAAGGGCCACGGCTTCGCCATGGCTCACTAGTATGTGTTTCGATGCTCCTCCCCCAATGTGATTGCATATTTTCTACATATATATATACATATATTTATATATCTATATTGCTTGGAATCTTTTACTGACGAGACATTTTGCGCACAGTGGCGGCTCCGCGATTAGCACCTGGGACGTCAGCGACCCGGCCAACATCAAGAATGTGCAGACGCTCAAGTTCACGCAACCCCTCGGCCCGAAGCAAGAGGCGCCGCGCCCGCACCAGGTCATCCTCGACCCCACGGGCAAGTACATTGTGACGCCGGATCTCGGCAGCGATGTCATCCGCCTCTACTCGTTTGATCCCAAGAGCCTCAAGGTGACCGAGATCCCCCCCGTCACGGTCAAGCCGGGCAGCGGCCCGCGCCACGTCGCGTTTGCCGTCCGAGGCCCCAAGACGTTCATGTACGTCGTCACCGAGCTCGGCAACACCATCATCGGCTTCGAGGTCACGTACGGAGACACCATCCAGCTCAAGGAGATTTTCAACATTGACGTGCACGGCGAGGGCAAGGGGGTCATTGCCACGGCCGCCGCTTCCGAGGTTATTGTTTCTGTGAGTTATCCTAGAGTGCGACGGAAGAAAGAACAACGTCTGTCTGTTGAATGAATGAATGCTAACTGGGCTGAAAAAAAAAAAGCCTGATCAAAAGTTCCTCATTGCTTCTTCCCGCCGCGAATACACCGTCAAGATTCCCGACTTTGACGACAAGAACAAGCAGATCGACTCGGACCCCCTCATCAACTTCTCCATCGACGAGGCCAGCGGCAAGCTCACCTTCAAGCAGTCGGTCTCCTCGGGCGGCCGGTTCCCCCGCCAATTCTCCATGAACAAGGCCGGTACCAAGGTTGCCGTCGGCATGCAGTTTGACGCCCGCGTCGTCATCATCAAGCGCGACCCCCAGTCGGGCGATCTCGGCGACTTTGAGTCGTTTTCCAACGTTTCGGGCAACATTACCTCGGTCTTCTTTGACGAGTAAGATGGGGACTGCCCGAAGTGCGAAGCCTAGACTTGGTGGTCGACTTCTAACGACTTCTAACGACTTCTAACGAGGAGAGTACCATACGGCCGGCTGTTTTCATGTACATATACGCCATCACGCACGCATGTTTGGATTTATATTGGGAGCAATAAAGGTTCTGCAGTTTTCGGAAATGATTCAAATAGATGTTTGCCTGCCTTGTCCATGCCACTATCGTATGTGTGTATCACGAAACCTACTGTACAAGCTGAGCGCCTTCAGTTCAGCTGCGCCGCTAGTTAGCCTGACCCACCACCACCTCAACATCTGCTGACGGCCAACGTGAACCAAACATCAAAGCGCACTCGGTACGAATCAAGTCTCCCGTCGAATCAACCGTCATATACTGAATTTGTATAGTCCAATCCTTAGGTGCCAAGGACAGCTGCGCAGTCAAGAGGCCTTCCACCCGTCACAGTTGGGATCCCAGACCGCTGCGCAACACCTGGCCGTTCCTGCCCCGCCCAATACGGTAAAGCAGCTATGAGCATGGTTTCTATTTTGATTCCAGGGCAGACTATCTTACAACTCGTTTCTGCCTTTTCAAAACGGGCATACCTGTCTTGCTAGGCTTCACGCAGCTAGACCGTCACCGGGGGGGCTCGCTAGAGCAGGACCGTCGCGGCGCTACACCACACCACCAAACTGAAAATCCAGAGACAACGTGGGCAAGGTCAATATGGTCTCCAAGCCAAGAGGGCAGTTTCGCAGTGCTTCTAGTAGCGCAGTCTCGGCGCCGCCGCCGCTGCTGCTCTCGCCACCGGCGGCCACCTCACGCACCTCGTTGAGGGTGCATGACGATGATCTAGAGGAGGAGGATGGTTCAGGCTCAAATCCACTCAAGAGACGCTTCGAGGATGGAGTGATAGACTATCCGCGAAGGAGGGCTACCATTGCAGTATGTGCAGCTCGCCATCACGATACCCTGTAGTCGGAGATGTGTGCTAATAATACTATCCTCAAGTGCGAGGTGTGCCGCTCACGCAAGTCACGCTGCGATGGCAACCGGCCCAAATGCAAGCTCTGCGCGGAGCTCGGTGCCAACTGCGTCTACCGCGAGCCCGCCGTGAAGCTTGATATTGGCGACAAGATCATCATTGAGCAGCTCAACCGCATCGAGGCCATGCTGCAGGCCAACATGTCGCAGCAGCGCGGCAGCATCGCGACGAACCACGAGCACTCATCTCCCACCACGAGCAGCGGCGCCGCCGTCATCAGCCCTGACCCGCCTATTCTACCATGTAGCAGTCCGGACGCCGCCGTCCCTGTGATCCTCAACGGCGGCCTGGGGACGTGGGCCAGCGGCGCGGCGGCGGGCACCAACATCTCAACCATGCCCAAGTGCCACACCAACGCCGCCTTTCATCTCCTACAGTGGCCCCTCATCCGCGACCTGGTGCCGCGCCAGTACGATCCGCAAATCTTGGTGCAGCTGGAGATGGACCGTGAGCCCCTGCGCTTGCCCGCCGCCACCGCGACGCCCGTCGTCGACCTGTCCAACGTGCCCGCGTACGTCGAGGCCTACTTTGCCAAGGTCAACGTGTGGTACGCGTGCGTTAACCCGTACACGTGGCGGGCACACTACCGCGCGGCACTGGCCGGTGGCTTCCAGGAAGGCCCCCCCGCGAGCTGCTGCCTCGTGCTGCTGGTGTTGGCGCTCGGCCAGGCGAGCCTCGGCGGGCACCCCGCGGTGCGGCGCCCGCGCGACTCGCCGGGCCT